CCATCCTCCTCTCCCCACCAAAGCAACCAGGATGTCAGGCAGCTTTAAGAACAGCACACTCTCCCTCCTGTGAGCCGTAGCTCAAGTTCAAGAGGAAGCAAGCTCCTATATCAGCATTAATTAAACTGCCAGTGAGTAACCACCCCGTTATTCTCCCCATAAATCCAATTCCTATCTCCTGGGCAAGAATCCCCAGGCCATAGCAACAAGGGCTGGGGTTTTATGCAGCCTTAAAAAAATCCCTCAGTGTTCCTGAATGACTTTGGCTCCCTACCCTTCTTGGAGTGTGGAGAATGTCTCTATGGCTTGTTCCTGGAGAAATGGCTCCTCTTGACACTTTCTGTCTTAATTTTTTAAATTATACTTTCATTAAACCCTTAAGGAAAATGGACTCGCAGAGTGCTCATCAAACAGTGAGAGAGCCGCGCTGCATAAAAGGGAGAGGTGGATTTTTTTTCTCAAAGCTACCCACACAATCTGCATTAACGAATTCTCTCTCCCCACCATCCTGCAGAGAGTATGAAGAGAGAAAGTCTGAGATAGAAAGCTGCTCCTTGAGGGTTCTGGTGGGCAAATGGGTGTTTAGGCAGCTGAATAGTACTCATGTCCCCAGCTGGGTACCTTTCTTCCTGGGAACTCCAAGTACTTGGTGCATTGTGGCAAGCTCCTCTCTCCCTGGAGGCTGAAGACCAGCACAAGGGGTGGCATCCTGTAACCTTCCTGGAAGGAAGTCATGTGTCCTCCCCACAGCTGTTGGGACTCTGGGCTCCACAGCACCATGTCTAGCCAGAGCTATTAACCTGCCTCCTGGCATCCATACTAGGTTCTGAGACTAGGTTCTGAGTCTCCAGCTTCCGGTCCTCGGTGCCATCCTATGCTCCAGCTTTTGGCCATGTGTCCTGACAGTGCTTGCTGTGGGAGGAGCCTAAACACCTTGCTTCCTTGTTGAACTTCATCGTGGGATGCGCCATCCACAGTGACTGCGGAAGTGGCAAGGAGACAATTCCAGCTGAGCCTCACGAGGTGTCCTGCATTTCCAGTCCCTTGCATTCTTATGATCTCCGTGCTAAAGGCGTGCCCTCCAAAAGCCCCTGGTCCCCCAAAGAGACACACTAGCAGGCTCTGCTTGAAGCTAAGCCCAGCTGGCAAGTGTCCAGCTCTCTGCAGACATGGGGGTGAGGGGAGGATGTGTTGTAAGCCACTAAAACTGGGAGGGGCTGTATGTTCCACAGCATTCAGTGGCAGAAGTTGACCAATGCATCAAAGGGGCTCTGGGTCACTTAGAGGAGGAGTTCTCAGAACATTTTAATAGCTGGACTTCATCACAGATGTCCTGATTCCTGGAGTGGAGTGGCCAGGACGGAACTGTCGTCTACCTCGCTGATTCCTGGAGTGGAGTGGCCAGGACGGAACTGTCTACCTCGCTGATTCCTGGAGTGGAGTGGCCAGGACGGAACTGTCTACCTCGCTGCACTGGATCCTTTCTCTGCAGCCCCCTGAGCTAGCGTGTGCCCATCTCACTCTAAAGGTGAAACTGAGTGCCTTAGTCAGGTTACCATTGCTGTGATCCCCAACATGGCCAGAGAAGCTGCATAGGAAAGGGTTAATTCTGCTTATACTTCCAATGGCATAGTCTGTCATTGAAGGAGTCAGGACAGGAACTCCAGCAGGGCAGGAACCGGGAGGCAGGAGCTGATGCAGAGGCCACGGAGGGTGCTGCTCACTGACTTGCTCTCCATGGTTTGCTCAACCTGCTTTCTTATAGAACCCAGGACCACCAGCCCAGGGATGGCCCCACCCACAATGGGCTGGACCCTTTCCCATCAATCACTAATTAAGAAAATGCCCCACAGCCTGATTGCATGGAGGCATTTTCTCAAATTGAGCCTCCCTCCTCTCTGATGACTCCAGCTTGTGTCAACTTGACATGAAACTGGGCAGGATACTGAGTGTCACAGACAAAGGGCGGTGCTGGGAGGCCTCCTCGTCAGTGCAAGGGACTCAAGCCCAGGTCAGTGGTGTCACTCAGGGAGCTTCAGAAAACAATGCACATTTTGTGGTCCCATCATGCTTAGTAAATCAACTCTCTGGGTTTGAAATCTAGAGTCTGAGTTACTTTTTATTGAGGGGTCAATGTGGGGATTGAAGTCAGGATCTTGCACATGTAGAATGTATTCTCTCTCACTATGCTCCACCTCCAGGCCCTCAGAAAGACAACACTTCTTAAAACGACTTCCTGAGAAGTCCTCACTCAGCTGTTCTTTTCTCTATGGAGGAACCCTGTCACCTCGAATGTGGAGACACCTTCTAATGCAATGGCTGTCATGCTCCTGCAAACTCTTGGCTTGCATGGCATTTGTAGATGCCATCAAGGTCCCTCATCAGCAGGCCTTACTTATCCCGAGGGGGCCTGGCCTAAACAGACAAGCCTACAGAAGCAACAACAAGTGCAATGTCTCAGACAGATGAGGAGCTCCGGACCTCACGTAACTGGGGCTGCATTGAGGCAAACACACCTGGTCGCCAAGAAGCAGATCTCAGGCTGAAGTGAGACAGTGGCGGCAGCCGCAACACCCCAGATCTAACCCGGAATATCTTTGGTCCAAGCTCCCCAGGCTGTTAGACCTGACCTATGAATGTGCACTCATCCTGCAACTCCACCTCACTCCATCGGCCTTCTCAAGATGTGTGGGATGCCGCCTGAACCAGAGGGTAAAACCCCAGAAGGCCACCTGTCTTATTGTCAACTTCACACAGGCTTGAGCTGCCTGAGAGGGAAGTCTCTGTTGAGGGATTGGAGCCATCAGGTTGTTGAAGGTGCAGCCTGCCGTGGGCAGCTCCGCCCCCAGGCAATTGTTCTGAACTGTCTAAGAAAGCTGGCTGAGTGCGAGCCAGTGAGCGAGCCGGCAAGAAGCATCCTCCATGGTTTTCATCTCAGAGCTCCGGCTTGAGTTCCGGCCCTGAGTTCCCTCAGTGATGAACTTTGACCTGGAAGCATAAACCAAAGAGCTCTTTCTTCCCCTGGGTTGCTTTTGTAGAGTGTTTCTCACACAACAGAAAGTCGACTAACCCAGCATCCTCTCGATGAACCTGACTGGGCAGCTGCCCCACCTAGAACCTCCATCCTTAGCCTGTACCATACAGGCTAACAGTCTTCTATGTTCAGTGAGGAAGGGGGCCAGTGGGCCTGGGCAGACCTGGGTGTATAAGAGGAGCTGTGTGCTGTGACATAAGCCCTTGACCTGTGGAAGCAGGACATGGCCAGGTCCAAAAAGCGTTGCTCTACCACCACAAGACACTCATTACCTCCAAGCCTCCATTTTCTCTCTGTGAAATGGGCCAGTGCGCTAACATAGGAACTCCATCCCGGAGAGAATGAAGATTATTGAGATGATATATGAAAAAAATAACCACTCATCAGCAGCAGCTCCAGAGACTTTGTGGCTTGATCTTGGGCATGGAGAAAGACTCGGGAGTGTCGAGGTTAGCCCAACAGACCACCCAGGGCTCAAACTCTGATCTCTTACTCCTTGTCACAGAAGGAACCTACCTGTCATGAGCCAGTCTGTCCCAGGCCACCAAGCATGCCTCCTTCTGTAGGGGCCTGGCAGTCATAAATGTATGGATACCACCCCCCCAAGCCCTGTTCATTCCCCCCTAATATCTCCCAGGGGGCTGATTGATGGAGGCAGGTGAAAATCTATAGCAGTGTGACAGAATATGTACTGCCAGCCCTCCAGGAAATGATTACTTCGAGGTAATTTTGAACCTCCACACTATGATGCAGTGTCTCATATTTTAAACGGCAGCAAGCATGGAGGAGAATGCTACAGTGAGACTTTGTATCTCACCACTTACTGGGTGTGTGGGTGTGGGAAACACAGCGGCAAGTTGGTTGCAGGGAAGGCAGATGTAGAATCGAATGTTTTGTATTCTGCCCAGCAGAAGGAGCACAACATTTAGCCTCCATCCCCAAAGGCAGTTGGTGTCCACTCCATACTGGGCTGCCCCCGGAGAGACCCCCTGACCCATGCCAGAGACATTCCAGACATCCAAACTTGAATTAGGAAGGTAGGACACTGGACAGCTGCCTCTGGAGCCTGGGTGACTTTCTCTGCCCTCCTGTGACCATGGTGCATCCATGACGCAGCAGATTCCACAGTATTTCTCCTTCCTTACAGATATCCCTTCCAAATGGACATCCCCAAAGATAGGCACACGTGGCCCCGCTGAGCAAGTTCTAAAGGCCAGAAACAGACTCACACAAATGCATCTGCTAGACCTTTCACAAAGGTGTCAGGGCAGGCAGAGGGAAAGGAGAAATGGCCCAGAGGCTGGTGTTGGCTTGAGTGAACATCGGCATGGCGTGCGGGTAGGAGAGTGCTGAGCTCTGCCTCTGACCAGCCATGAAAATCAAGTGATTACACATCTACATGTGAAGGACACACAGGGAAGCTTTTACACAAACGCAGGGACGAACCGTGCTGTGGTCTCTAGGTCAGCAAAGACCGTTAAGCACCCGCACCAAAGTGTTAGCTAAAGGGAAATGCTGGAAACTTGGACAACGGCCATCACTGTTCATAATGATCAGGAGGCGCCATGGAGGGAACAACGATACAGCAGCAGGGTAGAAGTGGATATCTACGAAATCAAAGAAGACTTACCCGAAACGAGAGGAGTCTTGGAGATTGTTTTTTTAAAAACAGGTGTCAGCACTTGGTTGTACAAGACTGAGGACCCGAGTTCAAATCCTCAGAACCCAAGTAAGAAGCTGGGGATGGGGTGGGGCTGCATGCTCACCCATAGCCCCGGAGCTTCGGAGGGAGGAGACAGGAAGGTCTCTGAGGTTTGCTAGTCCCTGGATCCAGGTTCAGTGAGAGACCCTGCCTCAAAGGAGTGCGGCAGACAGTGATGGAGTAACTCCTGATGTCCTCCTCTGGTCCAGGGCACATACCCTCCCACACACATGTTCACACCCACTCACATTCCACACTCACAACCCCTCACCTGTGTTTGTACATCCTCAGGCTTCATCCTGGCTCATAGGTAGACAACTGCACCATTCCAAGTTACTGCTCAGGAACCTGTGGGAAAGGGAGGAGCCAGGATTCTCAGTGGGTCCCACGGTCTTTAAACTACTGCTCCCAACCTGCATGGGTGTGGGCAGATGGGAGGGGCTGCACCTCTGTAGACCCTGGGTGTCTCTGGCAGAACCCGCACAGTCAAGATACTGTCATTCCTCAGAAGCTCTGTGTACCTGCCTAGTGTCACTTTGACCATGGGCTCTTCCATCTGAGGAAAGTGTCACAGTGCTAACAGACACAGCGTTTGTTAATTCAGAGAGGAAGGTTCCGCTGGGGTAGGAGGACATGCAACATCGGGATTCCATAACATATGGAAGCTAACACAGATGACTCCTGCTTTCTCATGTGGACTTCCAAATCCCTGTATTTACAGACTCCACCACTTCCTGGCTGTGAAGAGCCATTCAGCCTCTGTGACTTTCAGTTTCCTTACATTTAAAGAGAAAACATTCTTTCATGTTACTGGTGTGCACATGTGTACCAACACACACACACACACACACACACACACACACACACAGGCACAGGCACATGCAAACTGGCAAGCTGCAGCACTCATGTGGAGGTCAGGGGAAAACTTGGGGGACTCAGTTCCCTCTTTCTGCCACGAGGGGTTCAGAGATCAAATTCAGGTCATTGGGCTTAGCCACAAGCATCATCACCCACTGAGCCATCTCACCCTCCAGTTCCCTCTTCTTAATAGGAGTTTGAGATGATAAAATTAGAATTTCTCTCTCTCTCTCTCTCTTTCTCTCTCTCTCTCTCATCTCTCTCTCACACACACCCACATACACATACACACACACACACACACACACACACACACACACACACACAGAGCAAGTGCCCAGTCAATCGGTCATATTTTGCTCATGGACACAGCCTTGGACTCAGCTTTGGAGAACCAGTTTCAGTGTTGGAAGCCTTGCCTTCAGTTCATGCGCATGGCTCAAGCTGCACAAAGACACATGGCTAGGACAGGTCCCTCTGGAACAGACAGCTGAATCCCTCTGTCCTAGTTAGGGTCACCATTGCTGCGGTGAAACACCATGACCAAGGCAACTTGGGCAGGAAAGGGTTTTTTTTTCCATCTTACATTTCTAAGTTAACAGTCCATTGCTGAGGGAAGTCAGGGCAGGAACCTGGAGCTCTCCACACTCAATGACTTTTCTAGCCCAAAGTTCCAAAGTCCTTCCGCAATCCTCCCCTAAACAACACCGTAAGGTCTGTCATAGCAATACTCCACTAGCCTGGCACAAACTTGTCTTAGTTAGGGTTACTTCTGCTGTGATGAAACACCATGACCAAAAAGCAACTCGGGAAAGAAAAGGGTTTATTTGGCTTCTGCATCCACACTGCTGGTCATTACTGAAGGAAGCCAGGACAGGAACTCCAGCAGGGCAGGAACCTGGAGGCAGGAGCTGATGCAGAGGCCATGGAGGGTGCTGCTCACTGACTTGCTCTCCATGGCTTGCTCAACCTGCTTTCTTATAGAACCCAGGACCACTAGCCCAGGGATGGCCCCACCCACAATGGGCTGGACCCTTTCCCATCAATCACTAATTAAGAAAATGTCCCACAGCCTGATTGCATGGAGGCATTTTCTCAAATTGAGCCTCTCTCCTTTCTGATGACTCTAGCTTGTGTCAACTTGACATGAAACTGGGCAGGATACTGAGTGTCACAGACAAAGGTCGGTGCTGGGAGGCCTCCTAGTCAGTGCAAGGGACTCAAGCCCAGGTCAGTGGTGTCACTCAGGGAGCTTCAGAAAACAATGCCCATTTTGTGAGCCCATCATGCTTAGTAAATCAACTCTCTGGGTTTGCAATCTAGAGCCTGAGTTATTTGTTTGTTGGGGTGGGGGGTGATGTGGGGATTGATGTCAGGGTCTTGCACAGGTAGAATGTATTCTCTCTCACTATGCCCCACCCCCAGGCCCTCAGAAAGACACACTTCTTAAACTGTCTTCTCAGAGCTGTCAAATTACAGGAGGTACCACAGGGCAAGCTCAGCTCTGTGAAAGACAGAGTGGTGCTGGGGCAGGCAGGATGGTGTCTGTTCTGGGAGAAGGTTGCCCTCACCAGGCTGCCATGTTGTTTTTAAAACAGAAAGAAAGAAAGAAAGAGAGAGAGAGAGAGAGAGAGAGAGAGAGAGAGAGAGAGAGAGAGAAAGAAAGAAAGGGAAAGATCGAGGGAAGACAGGAGGAGGAAGGTGGAAGAGGGAGGGAGAGGGACAGAAAAATCCTCCAAGCATTCATTGCAAATTGTAGCCCTTTTTGGAAGTCAAAAACCCAACAGCGGTCTGGGCCTCCTCCTCACCTCCATCTCTAGTTGGGAGCCTCCCATCGCATTTCCAGGCCCCCTGGAGTGGCTGAAATATTATATTTCTCTGGGGAAATGAATCTCAGCCTGTGGCTGAAGCTCACCGCAGTCAGGACTCTCTCCGAGCCCACATTCTGGACACTTGCTGTTCTGATTGAACACGCTGGAGTCAGGTCTGCACGCTGGGACTTCTCAATCTATTCAGGAGGAAATCAGCATGGCACATGGTTAATATTCACACTGAGATTAACCCCCAAAGCCCCACCCCTCATTCTAGTTCCTTCTCCTGCTCCCCTCCGAGGGCCCGGCTCTGCTGAAATACATATGGAGTTCATCTGAAAGCCAGATTTACGGAGGCTGCCGAAGCCTGGCATGCTAACAGCCATAAGTCATATTCCTATTATGGGTTGTGCAATAAAAGTTTGGATATCCATTCTGGTGGATTTTGAGGAACTCTTGGGAAAAAATCTGGGCTTCCTGAACACCGTGAAGTCTTTTACAGAGAGATGTCGTCTCCTTGGTGGCTTAGAGGAGCCAGGGCCACCAGTGCTCTGGTCGATGAGATCAGTCGGTTACCCCATCACGACTGCCAGTGTCCCACTCCCCTGAGATAGCGTCCTGATTCTGTCTCCTGGGGCAAAGGGCTGCATGACCTAGGGAAGACCCCTAGTTACACTGAAAATAGCGTCCTTGGGGGTGAACTCAAATGTTCTCATTTCCCTTTATGTGAATTATTTTCTGACTCCAGTGTTTAGCCATCACACTGTCCCCCTCTAGGACCCTTCCTCTTTCTGTGGTCTCAGGTACCTGTGGTCAACTGTGGGCTGAGGACATTACACAGAGAATTTCAACAATAACTCATGTATATTATGTTGGGCACAGTTAGAGTGGGATGATAAAATCTTATGCATCCTATGGGAACACACTGTCCCTTTGGAGCAGAAAGAATGATTAAGAGCTCCAGCTCCTCCCTGGCCTCCAGGGGACACAGGTTTGAATGCCAGCATGGTGAGGTGGCTTTTAAGCCTCTGTAACTCTAGTTCCATGGGATATGATGCCCTCTTTCGGTCCCTTGAGGTACTGCATGTTCATGGAGCACAGATAATGCGTGCAGATAAAATACCCATAATACATAAGGTAAAAATAAATCTTAAAACAAGATCATTATGCCTTTGCAGGATGTACCCAGCGTCTGTGTTACCTACCCAGTAGTAACATGTGGCAGGTTCTCAGCTACTCACAGTCACTGTATGGCTGTGTTTGTCGAAGAATAGAAAACTGCATAGTCAGGATTTCTCTGTGTAGCTCTGGCTGTCCTGGAACTCACTATATAAACCTTGAATCTGGAGATCCGCCTGCCTCTGCCTCCCAAGTTCTAGGATTAAAGGTGTGCAATACCACTGCCCAGCTGTCAAAGACCTCTTGGGTGGTTGCTTGGTGTGACTGACAATGTTCATTTTATCTTAACACGTATGCATCATGTGAACTCACTGGACTCAGGAAGGAGCCTCTCTGTGGTGGAGAAAGATACTTAGAAACAGAGAGAGGCCACATTCACATCTCTTTCTCGAAGCATTAACTGGTATCTCTTTTCACTGTTGTCTGCAATCTTTTACTGCACCTGAAATGTGACCAAATGTCACCACAGACAGACAGCAGGCAATCTTCTCATCTCCAGCCACCCTCTGGTGGTCTTGGAGTACATCTCCTGTGGAGGAGGGGGACTACATAGTCCAGACTATTTTCTCACACTCCTGATGAGTGACAGCCACCCTGAAGTGCCTCTGTGTGGTGGCTGGGAACTGCTGGTGTATGTGGAACCCTGTCCTGAGAGTGAATTAAAGCAACCCTGGGGACTGAGAACATGAACCCAGTCTGGAAAAAAGGAAGAGAGTCAGCCCCAGCTGGTTCAGTGAGCCCGCCAGCAGCTAGGGACAGGCAGAGAGAGGCCTTTGTCAGCTGCTCTCTCCATGGCAGAGCTACCCTGCTCCCTGGAAGATAAAAGGCCCTTCAGGCTGCAAGCTGTGCAGAAAGGCTAGCATCTGAAGCCGCCAGAGTGCTGTGTGGACAGGGTAGGGGGATCTATTTTCATAGTTTCTGATACTCTCACGCGTGTGGAAACAGGATGAGCTACAAACCTTCTGCAAATGCTGGGGAGCTGGTGGCTGTACAGGGGACCCCAGCATGGCTGTTGCCCAGAAACTGTGAGTAACACTCAGGGGTCCTTGCAGGATAGAAGCAAAAATTCTTCCCCAGGGTAGATATTAACTTCATTTACCTCCTCCTGACTCCCAGCGACAAACCATGGATCCGCCCTAGCTCACCCTGGAGAGCCAGTTTCTTAGGTTACTTACAGAGCACGATTGAGGGGTTACAGGAACGACACTGAGTGACCCTAAGTCATTGGAAGGTCTGCACCCAGCATAGAGGACACTGCCCACCCTGGCTGCATGGAACTCATTCCTGTTAGCTTTACCACCTGTCTACTCTAGCATCTCCCTGAGATTCCAGGCACCATTGGGGCCAAACTGCACAGGTCCCATGATCCGCCCCACCCCTCCTTCTGTGAGGGGATGTTAACAGGCCTGACCGTGGTGATCTGATGAAGATGGGGGCTGCTTGGAGGAATAGAGGAACCGGGAAAAGCAGTGTGGGTGCAACCGTGTGCGTGCTCACACATGCTTTTCCGGAACAAAGTCTGTGTCGTTCTTCCGATGTCTAAGGAGTTGATTTGAAACTGTGACAAAGAGTGCTCTGTAATTAAAGGGAAGGAGAACGGATGGAGTGTAGTGGCTAGAATGGAGAGTTGGAGGCGAGGCTGGGCTCAAGGGGTCTGGAAGTCTGATGAGCTGCCAGGGGACAGTCAAGCTCAGAATGTCTTCTTGGGTGAGTTTCCCAAACGGCCTCAGTCTCCTATTGCACAGTTTCTGGGTGAATTTCACACACTCTGTGCTATGCCCAGCACACATTGTCCACCATTGCTTTCGAAACTACATCAAAAGACAGAGACTCTATTAAACTGTTGGAAAATCTTTTAGTCAGCATCCTGAGTCTTAGGTTGCAACGGCTGTGATTAATGAGATACCCAGCAAGAGAGGCCTTGCGGGGTGGGGAGGAGGGTTTGTTTGGGCTCATGGTCTGAGAGGACCCAGTCAACTCGTCGTGGGCAGCAAGGGGAGGGAGGTGACTCCAAGGTGGCCCGAGCACGCTGCTAGGGCTTCTCACCTCCAGGCAGGAAAAAGAGAACGGTCAGGAAGTGAGGATGAACTATACAATCTCAAGACCTACCGTCACTGACCAGTCACACTTCTCCTACAGAAGATGTGCCTCCTGGCATTTCCGAGATGACACTGCTGGCTGGGGACCTGGCTTTTGAACACTTAAACTTCCAGGAAGCATTCTCATTCAAACCACGTGACCCTTTGTTGGCTGCCTGTGCTGGTGCAAAACCCTTCACCTCTCTGTGATTCCGTTTTCCCATCATGAAAATGGGGCCGATGCTCATACCTGAGCAGACAGCACTGGAGTTAGGATGCCTGCAGGCCTGGAACTCACTATGTGACTCAGGCTAGCCCCAGACTCCTGCCTCTGTCTCCCCAGCACTGAAATTACAGGCAGGGATCACCGTATCCAGAAAGTCCCACTCTCCTCTGAGGGTTAGGCTGTCATTTCTGGTTTCTGAGGCACGCAGTGGCCACGCCTGTAGTCAGGCCAACTTCCTGGGAAGCGTAGGCAGTGAGATTTGGGCTGAAGGAAGTACTCTGCCTTCGCTCTACAGAGCCCACTCTCAGCTCTGGGCCCTGTGCTAATTGACTGGTGGGTTATCTCATGCAGCCACCACTGTGGCCCTGGACCAGTGCTTGTCTTAGTTAGGGTTTCTATTGCTGCTACAAGACACCGTGACCAAAGAGCAACTTGGGGAGGAAAGGGTTCATTGGGCTTACACTTCAGCATTCATCGCTATTCATCGCTGGAGGAAGCCAGGACAGGAACTCAGACAGGGCAGGAACCTGGAGGCAGGAGCTGATGCAGAGGTCATGGAGGGTGCTGCTTACTGGCTTACTCCTCATGGCTTGCTCAGCCTGCTTTCTTATAGAACCCAGGACCACCAGCCCAGGGATGGTCCCACCCACCATGGGCTGGGCCCTCCCCCACTGATCACTAATTGAGAAAATACCCTACAGCTGGATCTCATGGAGGCATTTCCTCAGCTGAGGCTCCTTCCTCTGATGACTCTAGCTCATGTTAAGTTGACACAGAACCAGCCAGTACAGTGTTCTGTTATTCCTTCAATGGAAGGAAATGGCGCTTGGTGGTTAAGGGACAGACCCAAGGTCACTCGGCTGAGAAAGGAGCAGGAACCCACAACTGGACTGGACCCTGTGGCCTTGGCTCCCCAAAACTGGGCTCAGCAGCCCCACAGCAGTTAATCAGATACTCTTCAAATATGGCTTCCTCTCATCATTAGGGCTACCGTCTCCATTATCTGCCCACCTTTCAGATAAAAGCCCAAGTGTCGAGGAGGCCCCGCGGATTCCCTAGAGTAGAAAATTGCATAGTCAAATCCAAACGACATTCTACCACTCAGGGTCCATTCCCATCCATTTATACCTGTCAATCAAGGCAACTCACACAAAAGCCCCGCCACGAGCAGGCACCCATACCTCCAGCCCCCCCACTCCCTCCCCAGGAAGCTCCTCCCAGCTCTGACCACAGCCCACAGGACAGAGGTCAGCCACCTCCCACCGCTCTAATTGCCAGGCCCCTCTGGAGGCTCAGTAACTCCCCAGCAGACTGCTTTTGGGGGCCTCCTGTCACCGTGTTTTACAGCCCTCTCGTTGAAGAGCGAAATCTGTATTGATTTCAGAACAATTCAAGCTGTAAATTACTGGTCATGATCGGCTTGGTAACCCTGAGATGAGAATCTATTGACTGACCAAGGGCTTAAATCTAATTATCGTCCCAGGAAAGCCATTGGCAGAGCTGCCCCAATGCCTGTGTGGAAAGGAACTGTTAAACAGTTGAGAGCTACATGGGAAAAAAATCTAGAGTGGTTACCCGGGGGGTCCCTGAAGACCCAAGCCCAAGACTTCCCCTTGGCCACCAGCTGGCCTTGGGTGGCTTGTGTAATTAGTAACAGTGACAGGGACGGCGACAGCACAAAGGGCTGCTGCTTTGGGGGCTAGGCACGTCCTTCAGCTTCTGTCTGTTTCCTCACCTCTAAGCAGAGTGCCCCGTCACAAGGTCGGGGAGAAAATGAAGCGATTCGAGTGACTTGCTGAGATCGGAGCTTGGTACCCTCTTACCTGTTACTCGGGAAGGAAAAAACAAAACAAACAAACCTAGCATGTGAAGCGCCTTGCCTGAGGTCACACACAACTTGGGATACAGACCTCAAAATGGTCCTTGACTGCTAACGTTTAAATGCAGCTGAGGGGCTGGAGAGATTGCTCAGTGGTTAGTGTGCTGGCCTGAGTGCAGTTCCCGGCCCCACCTGGGTGGCCCATGGCTCTGGGATCCAGCTCTGGCTTCTGGACTCTATTGGCATCTACGCTCATAAGCACAATCTCTCTCTCTCTCTCTCTCTCTCTCTCTCTCTCTCTCTCTCTCTCTCTCTCTCTCTCTCTCTCTCTCTCTCACACACACACACACACACACACACACACAAACACACCAAGTGCAACAAGTTTCTCAACTGAAACACGAAAATATTAAAACCAAAGACGAACCACTGGAACCCCAGGTTTGCATCTTACTGCTGCTGACCTATCCTCTCTTTCCCCAGGTCCAAGGGCAGCACCAACCTCCGTCGACAGACTCTTGAGCAAAGGGATGCATTCAAAGATTTTTAAGTTTCCTGTGAGGTCCTAGATGAAAAGCCAGAAGGTTTTGGCTCAAAAGATGCTGACCAGCGACTGCCCTTGTCACATGGGCTTGCGTTTCCTGTACCCTGTATCTGACCCATTTCCCTTATTCATCATGCCTGCGGAGCTTCTGGAGGCCCTGGAGGTTGTAGGAGGGAGTAGCAAGCTCACTGCACACTTCACCCCTGCACAGGTGCACAGACGGGGTCACCCAGACAGCAGGTAACAGAGTCGGCCTGCCTGCGATGACAACCTTGGCCCTTAACCAAGGTTCCTTAAGCCGAAGTCTCACCTGTCTACATGGGGAGGTAGGAAGGGGAGAGTGATCATGGCTACTTCTCGGGTTGAGACTTTTTGGGCTAACTCTGGGGACAGAATGGCTAATGGCTCTGTGAGAGTAAGTCCTGATCCAGAGACCAAAGGCTTCCCGCATCCCTGGGTTGAGCAAGCAGAAAGTGGTTTCTGCATCCCTCTGTCCCACTTTCCACTCTCCACACCCTGAAGTAAATACAGTGAGAGGCTGGGAGTGCTGAGGCTATAGTGCTCTTGGTCCTCAGCGTGCAATAGCCCTCAGGTCTCGGATACCAAACTACAAACTGTGGCCAGCTTCCCTGCATGGTAGCACAGCTGGAGGCCAGGGGAGGGAAAGCTCCCTTCTCTTCCGGGGCTGCCAGCATGGAAACCAGCTTTCTAGGGTTTCTCAGGGAGACAGACAAGCCTGAGCCTGGAGTGTTTTCACAAATGCTGATGAGACACTGGACAGGAACCCCTTCCCACTTGCCGCCTGCAGGGGCGTCAGACCAGCCGAGAACTGGCATTGAGCCACTAGGTGGCGCTGGTGGCCCTGGCTAACAGATGTGGGAGGCTCTGATAACCTACCTCTGGGTAGTCCCGAGTCTGCACAGGGCTGCTTTGTATAGATCAAACCATCTGGCCAGGATTAGAGTCTAAGAAGCAGGTGATGAGGAGAAGACTAGAGGTCATGCGGCTAGGAGGTGTCTGAGACAAGACTCAAATCCATGAATCAGCAGGAAGTTCCCACTGCAACAAACCTCAGTGTGAGCATCCAACTTCCCCATTGGCAGGCTTCTGTGAGAAGACAGGTGTGTGCGGAGGTGTGTGATGGCTCGTGTGTTTTACCTTTAATAAAATTAAATTGTAAAGGCTAATCCTTGTCTCCTACCCTCCAGCCTCCAAGCCCCACAAAGTCCAACATAAAAGGCGTTAAGGACCCTGGTAACCAAGTTCCAGTGTGGAGCAAGGAGGAAACATTGTCCCCTACTGATGCAACCAGAATGACTCTGGTGCAAGTTCAAGACCAACCTCTCCACATAGTGACTTCCAGATCAGTTAGGGCTATGTAGGGAGACCCTGTCTCAGTAACATTAAAAGGAAAAAATAATAATTTCATGACATTTCCACATGTCCATTACTCATCAGGTCATTAACTAATGCATATTAAGAATCTACTGACATGCCAGTGTCAGTCTGGCGTCAAGAGCAGAGAGTACAGGAGAGCCAACCACGGAATATGAAAATTAAACACACGTGGAAGTACATACACACAGGCACACACAGGCACACACACACAAATGTACATACACACAGGTGCATACATACATATAGATGCACATAGCACACACGCAGAAGCACACACATATGCACACACGTACACGTTCATATACACACAAACAATGCGCACACATGCAAACGTGCACAAACACGCATGTACACACATGTATACACACACACTAAAAAAATGCAATAAAAATTTTAATAATAGTTTTCTCTCTTCCAAGAATCTGGAAAGCTATGGGAAATCAGAGTGAATGACCACACAAAGAATGGGATTTGTTCTCCTGGGGAGTAGAAGCCAGACTGTCCTTGAAGGCAAATATGCCTTTCCACACTGGTGAGCCTGTGTGCTCTCGAGCCCTGGGAGAATGGGCCCTCTCATGCTGTCTTAGAGGAAGTGGTGATCCCTTAGAGCTCAAGGAGATCTCCCCACCTGGGAAACTTGGGTGCATAGAGCTGCGAACCTCTCATCTGTGGGCTTGGGGGAATGTCAGTGTCTGAGCTAAATGAGAATGCAAATACCCACTGCATCATCTGGTGATGGGAGGTGGAGGCACTCTCAGTGCCTGGTGTCTCTCACTCTGGTATCTTTGCCTGTCCTCGTGTGAGGTGGTTGTGGTAGTTTATATAAGAATAGGCTCCAGGGAATGAAAGTGTGTGTGTGTGTGTGTGTGTGTGTGTGTGTGTGTGTGTGTGTGTGTGTGGCCTTGTTGGAAGAAGTGTTATCACTGTGGTTGGGCTTTGAGGTTTCAAAACCCCATGCCACTCCCGTCCCCCCAACCCCTGCCCCAGCCTCCTTCCTCTCTGCCTGCTGCCTGCGGTTCATGGTGTCAAATTCCCAACTACTTCTCCAGCACCATGCCTGCCTGCATTCCACCATGCTCCCCCACCATGATGATAATAGACTACACCTCTGAAACTGTGAGCGAGCCCCTGGTTAAAGGCTTTCATTTAAAAGAGTTGCTATGGTCTTGGTGTCTGTCTCATCACAGCAATAGAACACTTCCTGAGACATAGATGAATCTGTCCTGTGGATGGCCATTCTTCATTCTGTCTCTTGCATCTGAGAGGCCTCACATGGACATTTGCTGAGAATCTGGAGCTGCGATAGTGCCATACGCGCGCGCGCGTGCCTCTGTGGGGGGCGGGGTGTAGAGGAAAAATAGCATGGGGTGGGGCTGGGGGTGGGGTGAGATGGGTGTTCTTACTTTCAGCAGCCACGGTTTTCCAGGCTGCACCAAGTCTTCCAGCTGTCAGCCGTGGATGAATTTTCATCCCTCCACACCCCCAGCAACACTAGATACTAATGGTTACCATGGCTGTGTAGCACTGGGTGCTCAATGCTCAGCTTCCATTTCAGCTTGTCCGGGGCTAAAGAGATGGCGAATGTGACTCTTCTTGGCAACATGGGTACCCTCTTTCACAAGGTGCCTGTTCGTAGATTGTGCTTTTTTTAGAAACAAAATGGGTATTGGATGCATGAGGAGCAAAGAGCCCTTTCCACTCTGGGACTTGTTTCCCACGTTCTTCCTGGTGTTTGCTGGGGGGCGGGAACTTCCTGTTTTCAGGCAGTCAATCTGACCCTTCCTCCCTGCTTAGCACCACTGACCCTGGCTAGGTGGTCTTCACCTGTCCTGTGAAGCTGTGTCCATCTTCTCCTGAGAAAGTATTGTTCCAAGTAGCAGGGTCCACGATAAGTCTGGGGACCTTTAGATAGAATTGTAGGGGTGTTTTAGAGACCTCCATGTGTGAAATGGACTTGGGACCGTTTGTTGGATAGCATGGCTGACTTTGTGCCCCATTCACTTTAATTCCAACAGTAAGAGTTCACCGGCTGTCACTGTTTTGTTTACCCATTGACTTCCCCTTGGGATCCCCCCCATCCGCCCACCCCGCAGGCTGCTTGGGTAGAAGAAAGCCAAGGCCGGGTGGCCCTAGTCTGCTGGTTTACATCAAGCCAGCTATGGTCATACAGGTCATTGTGGTGCGCATAACCTGTGAGATCATTGCTTCAGCTCATTGGCCGTGTGTGACTCAGGGACATCCACATCGCTTTCAAGTCACTATTTTCTTTTTTGAAAAAAAAATTGTGTGTGTGTACACATGAGTGCATGGAGTTGCATGAGTACAGGCATGCACATACCACAGCACACATGTGGAGGTCAGAGGGCAATCCTGGGTGTCAGTCAGTTCTACCTACAAGGAGTCTGAGTGCTAGGATTACACAACTATAGCAGCTGGATTCCATGAGGGGTCTGCAGGTTTGAACCCAGGGCCTCACACTGTGTGGCAAGCGCCTTTGTACCCACCCAGTGTTAATTTTTTTTTTTTTTTTTGCATGTGGGGTGGGGAATTGATCACTGGGACCTGTGGGAGGTATAGGAGCTAATCGGTGAAGAGAGCCTGGACCAACCTGAGTGTATGGGTGCTGGCCATGGAGTTGCTATGCTGTTGTGATGAGAGAGCCTCCAGGGAACAGGCTCTTTCTCCAGGCCTTCCTCTAGGAAAGGAAACTGAGCAGAATCTGTGCATCTTTCCCACCCCAGCCTTGGAGGAACCAGCAACAGCCGCAGCGTCATGGGTGGGTGCAGAGTGCCACCTAGTGGTCTGAAGGGGAAATGGATGAGGTTGTCCCAGTGACCTCGAGGATACTTTAAGGCT